ACTTTATTTTGAACAGTCAGTTTGTATGGCAGCTACATGTTAAAGTGGTCAGATCTATACAATTTCTTCGGAGATTGCAATGCTGACTTGAACAATAACAAGGGTTAACAATAACCGTAGCTAAATATCTCCTCGAATGAAAAAGTTTTCTATACAAACACTTRATTCCGATCATTCCCCTATATTATATTACGGCGGTTCGCAACAGGTCGCCTAGGTGGAACCCTCTGTTTGACTGATCTGTCTCTGATATGTGCCTTTTAATTCATACCAGGTTGAAGGTCACGAATCGAAACGGTTACCCGAAATGGAAAACGCGGCACCCATCGCATAGATAGTTTTATTATATGCACTATTTCATGTAATATATGTAACACCATGAACAATTGAAATGTCTATTGTTTCAGCTATTTCGCACATCTTCAATTAGCGCTGTTACGAGATCGAGWGCCTATGTCATTTTATTATCCGTAGCTCTTTTCGGGACATCTCGAGCGGTTTATTAAAACCCGAAGTGCGACAACGTTAAAACTACTCAAATAAAATAAAAATCGATTCAAAGACCGACATAGCTATTTTTATATTTTTTTAAATCGGCATATACAACGCATTTTAATGCGGTCAAAACAAAACTAGTRGTCTGACTCGGCTGAAAATTTGACAGTAATCATCTACGATAATATACGGTAGTATTTTTCTYTTGCGATAGTGAAGCTATATATATATTGCTAAGAAATTCATCCTTAACTAATATTCTTCAGAATCCGTCTTATTTGACTATATATACGACACGGAGAGTGAAATTGCTAGGGAATGTGGAATTATTCTAGGGAATTTCATATTATCATAATCCGTACATATGACTTTAAGTCAAATATGGTGATCATTAAGAGGAARATATTAAAAGCTTAAGTATCACACCTAACCTGTTTTAAGATTTGCTAACTTGCTTATTTTATTTTTGAGATATGTATGTATTATAATTCTGTCTACTCGTATAAAATATTCAATTATTTTATATTTCCGTTACAGTCCGCGCTCCAGTTGTTGTCAACAACCCATTAAGTAACCCTTTCAGTTTCTTCTCTCCCTCCCTTTGGGCTCTGTCCAGTCCACCGAAAGCATCGTCAACAAAAAAGCCACCCAAAAAATATACACCGCCACCAGTAACAACTACAAAACCAGTAACAACTACAAAACCAGTAACAACTACAAAACCAGTAACAACTACAACAGCACCAGCAAAAGACAAGAAAAGCACTATTCAAAAAGAAAAACCGACGACGTTAACACCGTTAGCTTCTAATCAAGTTACGACGACCGCGCTGCCACCCAAAAAAAGCACCACCGATGGACCATTTCGTATAGCATTGCCAACATTTAACTTTTTCGGCAATCAAGCATCAAGGTCGCCTGAAGTGGCTGGCGAGAAGGATAAACGCAACACAGCRCAGAATCTGCGTAATCTATTCGATTGTCCACGCGAGAGTGAGGTGCGTTTCCAGCTATTTCCGAAAATTTGTAAAGTCGACAAAGATTGTGTCGTTTGGAACCGTGATGAATTGTGCTGTGAAATATTTGGCGCAAAAAGTTGCGTCTCGGGTATAGCCAAACCGCTTGAAGAGACTTCACATACCCGTAAGTAATGCACTTAAATGACTGCAAACATTCTGAGATTCTTCTTTTAAGCAAAATATTGTTTATAGCCATATTGGGTCTGATACCACGCAAATGTCCGATTCGCCCACTAGCCGAGCTTTGGTGGCAAGTTCAGGAATGTGAAACCGACACAGACTGTTGGCCAAGAGTTTGCTGTCCTGATGGAAATAAGCGTTACTGCAGAACTTCGCAGCCGGAGCTGGAGACAGTACCAGTACCGGTGAAACGTTCCTTCAATTATCGTAAGACTTTCGTTGAAACAAATATATTTGCAATAATAAAATTTTCACTCTTCTCCCWAGTATCCGAGTATATCGAGTGTACACCACCACCGCCACCCATCTTCGATTTACATCCAAAGACTTGCGCTTCTACTTTGGACTGCTTCCCGAATGTTTGTTGTCAAGAGGCGGGCTTGCGACACTGTCGTCCGCCCAAAAAATCTCTACTTACTTGGATGGCGAATTTTCTGAATGTGGATTTCGTTAAGCGTCTGGCCCAAAATATTGTTATTAAGTGATGTGGAGTGTTCCAGGGTTGTTCTTATTTATTAATGTTTGTTTAAATTTAGCGGAAAGGTTTTCAAAGGATACATACATATGTACCTTATTCGCGGTAAAGTGTAAATACACATAAAAACATATTTACATGTAAATACATCACATACATACATATGTACATAAAGTATAATAAGAAAGTCGTGATTACATATACATATTTATAATTATTTGTTGTATTATATAATATATTTTAGTGGATACATATATGTATATATATATATATATATATGAACATGAAATGTTAATGTTGTTGTTGTTGTACGTTTTGGTGATATTAATTTTTTTTTAATAAAAGTCTTTTAAAATATACAACATTTGGTGCCGTTCACAAAAACTCGACTTGGCGCATTTTATGTCAAGATTTTAAATTGGAAGCGTACAAAATACAGCTTGTGCCAGCACTGAAGCCACTCGACCTTCACAAGCGCCATTGCTTCCCACTATGCGGTCTTGAGAAGTTCCATGAAAATACGACGTTTCTGAGGCAAATTTTCTTCAGCGATGAGGCATAGTTCTGACTAAGTGGGTATGCAAACAAGCAAATTGCCTCATTTGGGATGAAAGGCAAGCTGAAGAGATTCAAGAGCTGCTATTTCATCCAGAAAAAACAACGATTTGGTGTGGATTGTGGGCCAGCGGAATCATGATGACGATACCGGTGATAACGTAACCGTGAATAGCGACAGTTTTTTTGCCATGATGTTCGACTATTTGATGCTTGAAATTGAAGATCGTGATCGCGGGGACATTTTTTTCAACACGAGGGATTCAATCAGTGGATTTATGGAGTGAACACTTCGGTGAGCAGAAGTTATTTTTACGTTTTGGGCTGGTTGATTGGCCACCAAGATCGTCTGATATCCAACCTTTAGACTTTTTTGTGGGGATATGTAAAGTCTAAATTCTATGTCAGTTACCAGTCGAAATGTTTGAGCGAATCATCGAAAATTGAACTCAACGGATGGATCATGTGAGATGTAGCCGCAGCCAATATTTGAAAGAGATAATCTTCAAAAAATAAATGCCAAAGAATGTTCTTTCGAATGATTGGACCTTATCAGTTTGGCTTTAAGCCTGGCAAATCAACAACTGAACAGATATTCACCATGCCTTAAATCTTGAAAAAGAGTCGTGAGAGGATCGATAGACACCACCTCTTCGTCGATTTCAAAGCTACTTTTGACAGCATGAAAGGGAGCTGCCTTTATGATGCTATGTTTGAATTGGGTATCCATGCAAAACTAGTGCGGCTGTGTAAACTGATGTACAGCAATACCAAAAGCTCCGTCAGAATCGGAAAGGACATCTCCGCGCGGATCGATACCAAGCGAGGTCGCAAACAACGTGACCCCCTGTCGTACGACTTCTTCAATATACTCCTGGAGAAAATAATTCGAGTTATAGATCTGAATAGAGAAGGTATAATCTTCTATAAGAGTGTATAGCTACTGGCGTACGTCGATGACATCGATATCATTGGCCTGAACAGTCGCGCCGTTAGTTCTGCTTTCTCCAGACTGGATGAGGAAGCGAAGAAAATGGGTTTGGTAGTGAACGAGGACGAGACGAAATACAATTATTTACTGTCGTCGCACTCGCAACTAATTTCCAACATTAATACCAACAACAACGGCAGCCTTGAAGCAGAGGAGGAGGAAAACCTCCACTCCATTGGAATGACAAGATGGAGAAGAACCGGACTTCACTTGGAATCTAAAACTGGTGCCAAACAATGAAAAGGAAGAACGACTGGGGCGCTGAATATCAATAAGGCTGTTAACTTTTTCTCTTAAACGAATTTGATTTTTTTTCTGTACTTTTATTCAAAATGTCTTTGATCTTGCTTGCCACTTTTGATTAGTGTCTTATTCGTTAAATATGAAAGGGACTGAAAGAAACGGAGTCTTTATTTTATTGAAATCTTTTAAGTCTGAACACATCAGTAGCACCACATAGTAAAACCTCTATCTGTAGCTGAATTGTATACTTTTCGTCCGCGAAATTATAAAGAGTGCTTTATTTCAGTATCKTTATTGGAAATGTTTATCCAATTGATGACTTCCTGAAAATATATTATTTGCAAAGTCGAGATGCGGTGTGATCTGGCAGATATTAACTTAAAAAAGTAATGCAACTGTGGAACATGTGATCCCGAAAGCACCAGTAATTTAAAATTAAAAGAAATAATTGGTACATATTATAAAGTACACACCTCATATTTTCTTGACCAATATTCGATTTCCAATTTCGTTTTACCTCATTATTCAAAACAAATTTTGATTATTAAAAACATGACTGAGTTCCACCGGACCGTGCTCAGGTGCTAAGTGCAGAAGGGACTTGACTCTTTAAAAATTGCTAGAACAGTTATTTATCTTCAAGAAAATGATTTACATATAGTATATGATCAGGTTGGACGTTTTTGTTAATTTAGACCTATAACATGATTGTTCACGAGAATACTCCCTTGTGCACTGTTAAAATGAATGATCAACATCTACTTATTTTCCAGTATCAAAACATATTTCCACATCAAAAATGAAAATTTCATAATAAACATTTATTGTGGCCAAATATGCACTGCATACGCGTTCATAATTGATATAACTAATGTATAATCTATAATTTAATTAACATTACTAAAAAATGTGGTGAATTTAATACTAAAAAATTTCTTTTAAATGTTTATCAAATGGATATGGATTCGATAATTCATGGTTATTAGCAAAAGATTCCACTCTGTGCTATATAGTGAAAACGGCACTCAATACTGCCACACCACTTTATTTGCCGCTACAACCTTTGCCACTGCCACATTGGCAGGATCCGCTGCCGCAACCGCAACTGCCTTGGCCTTGAGTGCCACATTTACAACCTGGAAAAAAAAAACATTTGTATTAAATTTTTGGTACACATAAGCAGTTATATTGCGAATGTAAGATTTTAAAAATATTAATTGTTTATAAAATTTCATTGATATRTCACTCACCAGTTCCACAGGGGCACGGCATTTTCACTGTATTTTATCTTATTTTTTTGTTATTGAATAAACTCTTCAGCACTGACTTGCGATAAGAAAACGCTTTATATTTTGTTTAACGCAAACGTTCGCTCACTGTTCACTAAAGCCGGTTGTGTTATGCTTTTATAGAGGCTCGTTTTCTACCTTTACAGAACTTACTCTTCTTTCTGGATGATTCGAGATATGTCGTCGTTTCGACTTCGTCTTTCACGTCTTACCGTTCGTTAACACGTTAGTGCAGTGTGCAAAGTGACAATTGAGTACGTACATCCATACATATACATATACATATACTTGTCTGATAGCAATTGAGTAGTCTGCAGCTTATGGGTTCATGACGTCGTAGTTAATTGATATATACTCTCTGAAATCAGGTATTTCGCGACGCTGAGTCAGCGTTTCTCAAACAAATCTACTCAAATGACTTTGAAAAAACAGCTGTTGATTTCAGTAATATATGTATGAACAAGAAATAACGTTAACTTCGGCTGCACCGAAGCTAATATACCCTTCACAGGTCTTCTTCAGTTTGTATGGCAGTTATATGCTATAGTTAACCGATCTGAACAATTCTTCGGAGATTATATAATATGTAATATTAAACAGTAATCCATGTCAAATTTCGTGAAGATACCACGTCAAATGCAAAAGTTTTCCATATCCGTACAAGCACTTGATTCCGAACATTCAGTTTGTATGGCAGCTATATGTTATAGTGATCCGATATCGGCAGTTCCGACAAATGAGCAGCTCCTTGAAGAGAAAATGACGTTTGCAAAATTTCAAACGATATCTTTTCGAGAACTACTCAACTGATCTTCATAAAATTTTACATACGTCTTTGAAAAACAATTCTTAAATGCTTGGACGAATTCATTTTTTCATTACAATTATTTGAAAAAAAAAATGTCGCATAATTTTCACTGAAATTCTCTTTTTTTTTTTTGTAAAAATGTCTGCCAAAAATCCAATTTTCAGTATTTTTTTCCTTTGTCCAAGTTAAGTTAACTAAAACACGTATTTTTTTAACTTAGATGAAAGAAGTTATCCTGCCAACACGGGCGCATGTTTTTTCCTAGGGGTCACCGGAAATGGCGTAGCAATGGCCGACTTTAAAATATTTCAGAAATCCTTTGTTTGTAACAATAAAAAATTCTTATAAAATATAATATTTAATTTTTTTATATCAGAAAAACTTTCGAATCTTTATTATGAAGAATTTATGAATTTCCTAATGTTGTTCTGATGAGTTTAGAAAAGGTATAAATTGATTTGAAACCACAATTAGTTGAGATTAAGAACTTGTTACTCATTATAATATATCTGAACTTTGCTAAAGTTTTTGGATTTCCAAATACCTCATTAAGGCGTTAGGGGTAGTCAGAATTTTCAAAAAATATTTGTGTTTTGCATTTTCGTTAAGTGTAATATCTTAAAAATATTCTCTGAARATTTCAAGTTGATCCGATAATTAGTTTTTGATTATTCGACAAATAACTAAGAGAACCTGAGCACTTCAAAGCGCTAGTGTGAAACTCTAAACGCGTTTTTCTCAAAACTATGTTTTTTGAACTTCTAACAACTGTAACTCGAAAACCGCTTCTTAGATTTTACTGAAATATATACAGCTTTTAGAATACATAATAAACTCAGGTCTGATCGAAGGATTTTTTTTTTCAAAAATTTCGATTTTTTAAGACTAATTAATTGTTTATTTTTTCGCAAAAATTTAGAAAAATTTCCTGAAGCCACCATTTGTTAAATTTGAAAAAAAAAATCCTTCGATCAGGCCCTGGATTATCTTTTTATAAAACAAATTTTTTTGTCCGATTGATTTTAGCTGAATCTCCAAGGACTTATGGTTGTCACCGCAACTACCTTTTTTGGAACAGGGTCAACACAGAGAACTATACTTTGGAAATTAAATATGTTTTTTTTTTAATTTTCGTGACTTCAAGTCAACATATTCCACAATAATGTCATATTACTACTTTTGTAAAATAACACGATTTAATAGCAAAAAAAAAATACTGAA